CCCCTATAAATGTGCTCGGGATCATGCCCATCGTTGTTCCACGAGCTCAGCCTCACGTACGTACGCCAAACGAAGAAATGCCACTGCTCGGATCACGCGGCGAGCGTGCGAATGATGCTCGGCTCTGGGTGCGACTAAAGAAGCACCACCAATCCAATATCAACAAGGAATGGGGAGATCTTGTGTTACTATATTGCTATCTCATCACGGGCCTCCTTGATAGCGCGGCAACCCACATTTGGGGCTCGTTCGTAAGCATGCAGACTGGTAAGTTCCCGTAGCGCACACTCGGATTGTCATCCTCATGGCGCGAATAGGAAACACTGTATACGTCGGCCTCGGCCTCGCAGCTCCAAATGCGGACAATCGGTGGATAAGAGCACTTGTCTCCCTAGCTGCATTCTGCGTCGGCTCCTACTTCTTCAGCCGGTTTCATCGCCACCTGTCGCCCCGGAGACGATGGGTGCTAATCGCCTCATTCATTATTCAGCTCCTCTTCTTGGTACTTGCCGCCATTATCGTCACAGTAGGCAAAAACGCTGCAAGTAGCGACCTACACTGGCAGGTCCTCGTGCCCCTCGCAGCGGTTGCTTTCCAATCTAGCGGACAAGCAGTCATGTCACGCGTGCTACAGTACGGCGGACTCACCAGCGTGGTCCTCACCAGCAACTATTGCGATCTTTTCTCGGATGCCCACCTCTTTGCGTTGAAAAATGTCGAGAGGAACAGGCGAGCGGCTGCGCCACTGTTGCTTTTGGCCGGAGCTGTGGCGGGCGGGGTTTGGGCAAGGAGCTCCATCGGCATGAAAGGCGCTCTGTGGACGGCAGTCTTCATGAAGTCCCTCATTGTGGTGGCTTGGGAGGTATGGTGGAAAGAGCCGGAACCGAGGGCGGAGGAGTGAAGGCTTTGAGACCCGCGCCTTCGTCTGAGCATGGTACCTTGGGCTAAGCAGACTTCAGCCTATCACTCTCTGCCCTTTCAACTCCAATGTTGTGGAAACACAACTCGTGGTGGGCACAATGCCGTTTCCGGTATTCTATACCAGCCAACCTTACATCGATCACCTTCAGCGGAAATTTCGGTTATTTGGGACAATAATTCTACAGAGATCAGTCTTGGGGACGATCAACGCCGCACCCAGCGACTTGCACGTCGAGGCCGGAATCCCGTAGAAGCCAAACCCCGAAATTGTCTCCAAGTGCTTCGAAAAGCCGCCACATATTGCAAAAGCGAGGACTTGAATGGCAAAAGCCGAATGCATTCGAACAGAGTCTTAAAGTTGTGTCAAATAACACGTAGAACGAGAGGAACAACAGCTAGGCCTATTTGAGTCCTTTTCACCATTGCAAAAACCTCGCAAACGGTCAATCAAACGGCCATTCGGAAATATGGTAAAACGATAGCAAGGGCTGGTTTCTATGGCCGATTACTCACGACACAAAAAAACGTCCTCATTGTGTTGTATAGTTGATATGAAACTACGAGGCTTTGCTCAGTCAAACCAAGACACATGATTGCTAACCATTTCTCTGCTTTTACTTTTCACTTGCGGCTTGGAGAGTACCTGTGTTCATTGTAGGTTGCTCCCGTCCCTGACATTCGTGTGTGGCTTCACTGACCAACAACAGTTCTCAACTCCACCTTGGCCACAATCTTTCACTACTTTCTGCGCTTTCCCCCCTTCCAGACCGTCTTCCAGGGCAACGCAGGCGGAGAGCTTTCCTTTCCCGCACACGGACACCCTCGCCGTGGATATAATAAAATCCCCCTTCTCGCACCCAGATCTTCCCCTCTACAACACTGCTGCGCGCACCCGCCTCGTCCACGCAGACCTGCACCACGTCCATCTTGCCTTCAGCAGCCACCAACACCAACACCACGCGCTTCTTGATCCAACTACAGCCGGCAGAGTTATCTCTTCTACGCATCAGGTTCATCAGTGTCACTCTTCCTACTCACGCCTTCCCAGTCCCGTCGTCACCATGGCATCAGTGGCCAGACTTGCGAGCATCAGCCGCATGCCTAACACGTTGAGGCCGATATCATCGGGCTTCTCAACAACCACGCTTACCAAGACGGTACTGACGCCAGCTTGGAGGACCATAAGCTACTCAGTGACCACAACGTTGGAAAAGACGGCAACCGTTACCGCGACCGTCACAAAAACCCTGCATGAAACGGCGACCGTCACCCAAACTCTTCGGTCACCTGTCGGTCCCACTGCACCGAGCTTTGGGCAAGCGCCCGCAGAGCTGTTCAACACGGTGGTCAATAACATCGGAAGTGGTGTCAAGTATGGGCTTTCGAAGCTCCCCAGTCCGATCATTCAGAACCCTCGTGTTAACACTATGATCTCAGGAGCTACTCAAGTGGTCGGCTCTACCTTCGACCAAGCAGCCGCCCAATTCCATAAGATCGCGCCCTTCGTCGCCGATCTCCCCGAAGGATTCAAGCCCAACCCAGGGCATGCTATCGGCCTGGCTGCTGGGCTCGTACTCATTGGTCATCACTACAAAGCACGTGGGCAAGATGTTGTCGTTGAGCCTGTGGTAGAGCCTGTGGTAGAGCCTGCCAATCAAGGCGATGCCCTTGGTGTTACCCAAAATCAGGACCAGCCAATGCTTGAAGAGGAAGAGCAAACTCAGGCATCAGATAAGCAACGACAAGAGCACTCGCAGACTCAGAAACCGTCACGAGGGTCTCCTCCATCCCTTCAGCAATCCCTTCAACAACAGAGTCCAGTGCGACAACACCAGCAACCACAGTCGCTTCAGAATGCGCAGGGTTACCAACCGAACTCAACGCCTCGTCGGGAACTGAGTTTGCTAGATCGTCAGGAGCTTGCGAGCTGGTTTGACCCCGTGCTGAACCACATCACGCGGAAGTCGGACCACATGTCCGAAGACGAGTTCATCTACCAACAGGAGGAGGCATTAGGTACCGAAATGAGTGTCATAATGCCTGCCCGACAACATCGGTTTCTCAATCACCCTGAAGACGGCGTCTTCTGCGCTTGCAGGCCAAAAACCCCTGTTTCTCACCAATCTTCGCAACACCGGGGCAAACCCAACGCTTCTGACAGTTTGAGGCCCTCGAAGAGGTCGAGACGCTCTCTCAGATGGGGCAGTCTCAGCCCTTCTCCGGCTCCTAGGGAGCGACTTCGCGACGACACACCCTATCCTTCGGAGCGAATGTCTCCATCGACGTCTGCATCAGAATCCACATCCAGCTCTCCCAGTGAGCGCTCCATTTCCACTATCTCATCATCTCGAAAAGGCGCAGAGATGAAGGCGATGCCGACTCCGTTCACACGTCCAGCTCTTCAAGCGAGCGCTCTATTTCCACCATCTCATCATCTCGGAAAAGGCGCAGAAGTGAACGCGATGCCGAATTCGTCCACACATCTAGCCCTTCAAGCGAGCGCTCTAGTTCCACTACCTCATCATCTCGGAAAAGACGCAGAGATGAAGGCGACGCCGATTTCATCCACAGTAACGAAATTCTGTCTACAACCGAACTGGGTATCGATGATCTTGACATCGATGAAGCCATCACCGGCACACCCGGTGCACCCCATACTGTACGAGCGACAAGCACCGACACTTCTACGTCCACCAGGTCCCAAACCTTCGGCGCTTCTGGCCCCATTCCTAGCCTCGGCGCAACCTCGGAAAGCCGTGAAGACGACGGAAGTTGCCGGCCTAGGATGTGTATCAAAAAATTGTACACGGTTCAAGTGAGCTGCAGATCATTTGAATCGTGTACTGTGCAATGGTACCATCCTGGGTCGAGGCGCCCAACTGTCCACTGGCCTCCGAAACCGCCATCCACCGTCATACGCGCACGAACAACCCGCCGTAAGCATTCCATGCTGTCCGCCATTGTCTAAATATGCCTCAGCAACCGCCTTGAACCGTCATACCCGCGACACCAACCCGCCTCGACCAGGCCCTTCCGCTCGACACTCCAGCAACTTGATCCTTCGTACACATCTGGCACAACACGGTATCTTTTCAAAATACACAGCAGACAGGATCCTTGACCGACCCCCGACAGCAGTTGGTCTCCTCTCCGTCGCCGGACTTTACAAATGAGCTTCACACGTCGAGTTGCACTGGGCCATTTGGATCGCGGTGGATCTCTTGGTGTGTAGTTTCTCGTGTGTTATTCGGCAACACAACTTCTCTCAGGATATACAAAGATAGGATCCTTGACCGACCCACGACAGATTGTTGGTCTCCTGTCTATGGCCGATTTTCACGAGAGAGCATACGAAGATGAAACATGGATGGTAAAGAGCTGATGAGCAGAGTGATTGGCGTTGTAGGGTTGCGTCGAGGAGGGTTGAAGGAAGGGCTTGACGGGGATATGGTGGTATTGCGTCGATGATTCATTCTCGCGGTGGGTGATGTTTGGCTTTGGGCCACTTGAGCAAGGATAGAATGGGGTCAACCACGGGTCAGGAATTTGTGGTGTTATATGGAGTTTGCGGGTGAGCTGGTGGACTGGTGCATGGGTGTCTGGTTATGGCACGGCTTGGGTGGTGTGGAAGACGGCTTTTGGGGATATGGGTTGGCTTTGTTTCTGTATTTTTTGCCTGGCCGGTTTGACGGGTGGCTCCTTTTTGTTTTGCCCTGCTTGTACTGCATGCAACCACTGCATTGGTTTCGAATTGTTCGTTATTCAGACTCTATGGCATGTTTTTTATATGAGGCGGATATTGCAATCAACATGATAACCATTCAAATTATGCTTGCTATCCCTCTGTGTCTATGGAGCCCCTAGTATGATACTCCACTTCACTGTCCCCTGCACTCACCCTCGCGCCAACGCCGCATTGCACTGCCTCCCTCACACTTACCTTTCATCCCTTCGCCGCGCGTTCTTCCCCAACATCCTCTCCAACATCCTTTCCCTACATTTTGTGCAACCTGACACCTCATTACCCCACTATATAACCTATTAACCCCACATACTCCGATATCAAAGCACAACGACCCTCCGTTATGGTCCAGGGGTTAGGATTTCTGGTTTTCAGCGCATTTGAATACCCAGACGGCCCGAGTTCGATCCTCGGTAACGGAAGCAATGTGCTCTCTTTTTGCTGTTTGGTGGGGAGGCGGTGTGAGGTGGTGAAAAGATGGGTGGGGGAGGAAAAAGCGAGGGAGGGAATGGGATGAGGGAGTCACGATCATAAGGGATGCGTTGAGTTCCTTATACATTCATGAGCCAATCTCATTAGATCGGCAGGTGGTGGACCTCGGAGCATTTGAAGAATTTTACATGAAGTGCATGACAATTTTAAAAGGGGCAGAGAAACTGAGAGCGCCGGGAGCGCAATCTTGCCGGACATGGAGACCCACCGACTCTTCGCCTCGGCTTGAGCAGTAGTTCACGTTAATTAAGCAGATAAACAGATTATATCAAGCTTAAGCCTTAGAGACATGGTTACAGTACCCAATTTGCGAAAGGACTCCATACCTGGAAGCCAGAGGTCGACGTGTGAACAGGGTAAGCAGGTTCCACTCATACTCACTCCCTCTTCTCCCCCTCCATAGCAGCAAGCTCCACATCCGTCCTCTTCCAATAATGACTCAAGTCGCCAACGGGCAGGTTCACCGTCCACCGCATCTCTGCGGCCATCATAACGAAAATCATATACCAGCCGAGCACACCCACGATAAACAACAGTGCACCGCCACCCTATCACACGAATCAGCAAATGCGCTCAACCTTCCAACGCAGCACAACATGGAAGGAACAACATACCTTCTGCAACCTCTGCGCCTGCTCAAAATCTCCCGTACTAACCCTCCAATACGCCCCACTAAGCACCCAAGCCCCAATCGTCACGAACCCAAAAATGCCCGCAAACACGGCATTAATCCGCAGAGTAAACAGCCAAAACGTGAGTAACGCGAAACCCCAGACGAGCAAATACAAAGCAATGACGGCGTTCATTTCTCTAGATGCGGCGCCCTCGGGGTACGGGTCTGCGAGACCGAGAGTGGGGAGTTGTAACATGCCGAAGGAGAGCCAGAAGACGCAGAAGAGACCGCAGACCATCATGGGGAAGAATTGGGCTTGGATCCAGAGGAAGACGGTGCTGAGGAAGAGGAGGAGGGGGCCAGTGAAGAAGAATATGCCGCTGGAGGAGGGGGTTAGTGGGGGGGAAGGAGGGAGGAGGGGAAGGCGTACACGACGGGGGAGAAGCCTGAGGCGCCGCCCCAGCCCATCAGGACCATGGAGAATGTGAATGTGGAGATGACGAAGCTTCCGCGGTTAGTGAGGTGTGATGGGCTTGGAGATGTAAGAGTACGTACCCCAGGAATCCGAGGGGAGTGGCATTGGCGTATCTGCTGGCGTGCTCGACGGCGTGAGGGACTTTGGGGGCGAGATAGAGCTTTTGAATATGTCAGCTCAGCTCGTTCACAGTGGGAAACCAAACTGTGGATAAGACCCAGAATCAAACACACTTACCTTCTCAAACAGCTCAGGCGAGAGAGAGATATTAGTCGTCGTTTTATGGAGGTGATTGTGGTTTTCAATGGCATCCGAGCTCGATGCCGTTGCATGAGGGTCGACTTCCCTCACTGTCGGGTGCGTTGCAGCGGAAGCCATTGTGCTCGCGTTTCACTTTGGACTACTATCTGCTTCCTTCGAGTGCAGTATAGATATACGACAGAAACAGCAAAGCACTCCCAATTGCCCCACACTAAGGGTCAAGGACAAGAAGGTGGGAAGAGAAGACGTACAAGCAGGCGTCCACCGGACTCAAATACAAAAAAGATCCTGCCAACCCTTGGGGCCCTAGCACCCTGCTCCCAAGAAACAACCCCATCTCAGCATCTCAGCATATCCAAGCTCTCCGCAATTTCCCCCAACAATTCTTACATCCAAGCCTATTCCTTCTCATTACTGACCACTCAGAACAACCCTCGCCTCGCTTCGCGTCTTTGCCGATTGCAGCTCCGGACTCATGACTTTTCCCTACTCCGCAAATCGCAGCTAGTCGGAGAAAAACAAGCCCTGGTACTCTCACCAGCTGCTCACAGACGCGCAGACCAAGAGACGAAGTCTCCTGTTTGTTGCAATACCCCGGACGGGATGACATGGTGCGATTGGTTGGGTAATGGGCGAAGGCGCAAGCCACACCACGAGACGGCCGGCGTGGATGCGGGGTAGTAGAGACACGCCAGGAGGTATAAGAGTCTTGGAGAATATGTGAATCGTTGTAGCGATCGAGACTTTGCCTTACAAGGTCCTGTTTGGATCTGGTTTGAAGGGCCTGTGCAGCAGAGTGTCTGACTGGAAATGATGCCGGTGGCTGAGTCCAACTCGGAGGTGTTAGTGCGAAGTTAAACAAGAAACGACCATGGCGGAGGTAAAAGCAACCGGTAAGCGCTTCAAGTAGTGAGCATGTTGAATCCCAGCATATGCACGAGATATCCAAAAGGGGGAACAAAATGTAAAAGGGCATCATCCCTCAAATGTGGACCCCAAGAATCTATCATTCAAAATATACTGCCAATCCCTTAAGGCATTGGTGCATCGGTGTATGAGCGCTCATTGCATGAAAGCCACACTTCAAGACTCCCATGGTCTCAATCAGGACAGCAAACGACGCCACAGCCGACCATGTCGCGTTCAGCACCTAATTCCTAGGAGGTATCAGGGGCCAGAAATGGAACAGCTAGGTTGGGCACGACAATTACTGTAAACACGCTACACAAGGAGTTCCAACATATACGGCGTTGCCTACGTCTAGCACACGATTTTTCTTGGTCGAACAAAGTCGTCCAAGCTGTGAAGAAGTGCATTGACAATTTAGCAAAGACAGAGGGGGCGTGTACTGCTACTAGGGAGAAGACACTTGCATACGCCTTAGATGCAGACGAGATTCAGTTCTATCTCTGGAATTGCAGCGAATACGTGTATGCACACCCCCGTGCTATGGTGCAGTTCTCGTTTCTGCTCCATATCATATCTGTTTGGGGACTCCGGACAGGGGAGATAACGGAGTCGACGAGTCATCAGGGCTCAAACGAAGGCATCAAGTACAGCGATGTTTCTCTTAGCCTCGCGCGATGCGATAAAGGTGCCTTACAATACCAGATGAAAATTGCCTTGCGCAATCGCAAGTTCTGCAGGGGTAATGAGGGGAAGGTGTAAGTCTTTCCTATTCGGCACGAACGGGCGTTTTGTCTCAGGCTAACCACCAACAGGAAAAAGATTACGTTGAGAGAGCACATGGACCCAACGCAACGATACAGATGTCCAATTCGCAAATTCCTTGCATTAACCTTAGCGGATGATGTTTTTGTCTACCAGCGTCTGCCTGAAGACTTTGATAACCGATGGATTCGGCCGACTGCAAGCTCAAGGGTCTTTGAAATCAAAGAGGAGAGGAACCTCCCACTCTGCCGTAAGATTGATGGACTCAGAGTCTCGGAAACGAGGATGCAGACTGCTAGCTCTCTCAACAGAATTCTTAAGGATATCTGCGAGCAATGTGGATATACAGAGCCCGTAACTACGTACACCTTCCGGCGGGGTGTTGCGAACAAAGTAGAAGGTAAATAACCTCCTTACCCTAGTGCCTGTTATGATGTTTTTAACCAACTGTGTTAGCAAACGCAAGTCAGAAGGGCACGAAAGAGGTCCTAGGTCATAACGGAGACCGTACATGGCATGCATACGCAGCGCCTACGATTGGCACCGATGCGCAGGCGATAGCATACGATAAGCCACAAGACACAGAGTGCTTTCAATTTGCACAGAGTATTGCGTACACACGGGACCTAGGCGCTCCAAAGCCTGCAAACGCGACCCTGGGCATACTTTGTATACCTTCTGAGGATGTTATAAGAGCGGTCGCCCAAGTAAATCCTACTTATCGGTCCGGCGATATTATGAAGAAAGCTCGAAGAGAGCAATACAAGATCAATCGACAACAATTTCGAAAGGCGGTCCGTTCCGAGGCATCTCCCGTCTCTGACGTCCCAGGTGGTGATGATTTTGAGGCCGATATTGTCCACAAAGAATTAGGGAAGACGATCCCTGTTTGCATTCGCCCAGTGCCATCACCAGAGTTTACACAGATGCTGAAGTACAACCCTCTTCAGGCACGCGTTATCGAAACCCTGTGGCATCGCAAGGAGGCGTCCCTTGCAGAGTGTGTACAACCTCTTATGGAACTCGCCAATCCTGAGCCATTTCGAGTTTTCTACCCCCGTCCGGTGCTGCCTCTTAACGATGATGGCACATGCCCCTACTGCAAGAAGGATATCTTGTCACGCTATCCGCACCACTCGAGAGTCGCTTTGCACTTGCTGGATTACTATTGTAACACACAGAACGTTCGTTTCTGCTTTGACTGCACCCAATTTATCGACCAAAAACCTGGGACGCGGCATTGTTGTCCCCCTGGGGTGGGTTTCGACCCCAACAACCAGGTGTATGGCGTAATTACCTGGCGGGGGCTGATAATCCGCAAAGGAAGATGTCCATACAAATTGTGTTGCAATAGGCGCTATCGGCACGCACAAGACCTCCACCGGCACATCGAGGATCACCACCTGACGGGATTGCAAGATGAGCCTTTGACATGCCCCCACCCGGCTTGTGGAGAACCATGCAATTCAAGGGAGGAACTAAGAACACATCTTCACACTACACACAAGATCCATCTTGTTAGGAAGCGAGATCTGCTTGCGAAAATTGGAGTACGGGGCAAAGGGACAGTTGCAAACGAGGCAGCTGTAAGTAACGAGGATGTATAGATGTTAGTTTTCTCTGCTCTCTATTTGTAGATAAGTATGTTACCAACTGTAGAAATGACAATTGTCCTCTTGTCTATCTACTTCTGTTTGGTAACCGCAAAGACCGCATCCGGGGGGACGTCTTGGTGTGTGAGAAACAGGTTGATGTAGCCGCCCTAGGGCAGTTACACACCGTAGTCTTTGTCCCCTAGCTGTTACATAGGACGTGATGGAGACTTTCCGTGCATAGTCAAGTCCCCTAGGGGATATTCTCCCTCGCGGTAACAGATGTGCGCCTTGAAAGCCTCGCGTCGGTCATAGGGT